TCCTGTCAATTGTTTCCAGTGTTTCAGCTACAACATACAAGTACATGATAAGATCTGTTCACTGTCATTCCAAAATTGTTCTAATAGAGCACAGCGTATTTCTATATTTGTTTGAGAAAATGACATAACTCTAGAAAAGCCATTTCATTGGACTCCCAGCTCCTCTCCTCCTCTCCAGCCCCTCTCCTCCTCTGCTCTCCCAGATGTATGCAGATGGATCTTAAAGGTCACAGTGTGGTTAGACAAACAGCACAGAAGCATGAATCTTCCTGAGTAAATATAAGGGACACTGCACCATTACGTCAAATTCAGCCACCACAGGCCCATACAGAGGCACAGGAGCAGGCCTCTGCAGAACATACACAACGAACAATTAAACACAGAGACAGAAATTAAACAGAAAGAGAACTGTGAGGGACATACAGGTTCTTCTATCATGTCTATATACACTCTTATTATGTATGTATGTATGTGTGTATGTATGATGTAATTAAGGGAACTGTACAAAAGACTTATAATGTCAAACAGCATGAGCCTGTTTGATGCCCTATGTCCTAGTAGAACACCTCATTTTATGTGGCTTTCTGAAAAATAACTCAAGAGCCCGATCACAAGGGACCTCCCTGGGTTCTGGCCCATTTATTGCACGAGTTTTGTTATGGTTTCAAGTGTTGGGATGGGACCATCGGGTGACAGCAGGTGAAAGGACTGACGCACAACTCTGCGCCCCACGGGCTAAGCACAGTCGTCGCCCAATCACACTTTGTGGAAACTCTGCTCTGGAGGAGGTGCAGGAGTGACGGTTTCCTGTCTCATCGCCACGCCCCGGACAGAGAGTCGGGTCCCGAGAGCAAAGAGTGCAAGTCTTTAATAAGTATACCCCCACTGACATGTACGTGCGGCTGTTGATCTCTTTCTTTCTCTGTCTCTCTCTTTCTCCCTCTCTACGTGTGAGTGAGAATGACAGAAGGTGTAATCAATTTGTGGTGTTCAGTTTTCCTTCTGTGGTGTGGCACCACACATTGGTCTATGTGTGATTTATTCTTGATTACAAAACATGATGCTTATGTTATATTTTTTAGTTGAAGTACCAGTGTGTTTAAACCTAAAGTCTCTCTCTCTGATCTGAATGGTCTCTACCTAAAGCCCAGCACATGAGTCAGTGCTAGTGCAGCCTCTGCAGCTCAGGGAGGGAATTCTGAAGGTTCTTAGCTTTCACGTGAAACCTGCACATAAACTGAGAATGAGACAAACCTGGATGTGTCTCTGTCTGCAGGTGAAGGCTCTGGAGACAGGTTCAGTTGAGATTGTAGTGCAGGCTCAGGTATTCCATGCTACCAGGGACGCTTTAAACTGTTCCTTTGGGAAGTTTGTCACACACTTTAATTGTCTGCATGTTTCTAATGGCTTGTCTGGGATCTAGAATACACACTTTTTCAATACTTTATGAAGATGTGAGTCTGGTCAGTGGTGAATCTCCCCTATTTTAGATGGATTAACCAATCAGGGACAAGCATGGTCCGTGTGAATCAAAATGAGAGAAAAAATAAAATAAAAATCACATGGCCTGGAGAACATCCTGTAAGTAAGTCTTTATTTATATAGCATTTTTGTCACAAAGATGCTTTACAAAGCATTATTCGTTCACTCTACACTTGGTGATGGTAAGCTACTATTGTAGCCACAGCTGCCCTGGGGCAGACTGACAGAAGCGCGGCTGCCATGCCAATCAGTGCCACCGGTCCCTCTGACCACCACCATCACACACACACACACACTACTTTCATACTAGGCAATGTGGGTGAAGTGTCTTGCCTAAGGACAAAACGACTGGTTTGTGACTGGTGCCCCTTGTGGACCCTGATTTTCCCAGTGTCTCCCATCCAAGTACTAACCAGACCCAGACCCAGACCCAGCCCTGCTGAGCTTCTGAGATCTGACAGAATCAGGCTTTGACAAGCCCTATGGCCAGGCTGTATTTCTGCAGAATCAATGGGTGAAGCACTAAACTCTGTTCATTTTTCACGTGTGTCAGTGAAATAAACTAATCTGATTGAACAGTTGTGTTTGGTTTGAGGGAGAAGGAACCAGACCGATATCAATCTATAAAAAAAAATCTGTCTGAACTTGTCAAATACAACAAAACATTAAAAGGACTTATATTATGCTATTTTCTAATCCATGTTATAATGTTATTTCCTCATCCAAAACATACTTTTGTTCTGTTTTATTCACAAATGTTTAACACACAAAACCTGAGTTCTTCTTTCAAACAAAAAATGCTCTGTTCCACCTTGTGATGTCATGTCATGGGGTAATACTGGAACTGCTCCACTGTGTTTTTGAACTCCATGCACCTTCACTAGAATCATTTTTGGGATTTCAGCTCTGGAATTGTCAGTCGCTACTGAACTAAAGATAAAAGGTAACTGCAAATGACTATGCTTAATGACATCACAAGGTGGAACAGAGCATTTTGAGCTTTGTGTAGACAGGCTAATAATGTGAATGAAACAAAACACATCTCCAGGTCTGTTTGTGATGAGGCAACAATATCAGAACATGACTTAAAGCTCACAGGAGTCAGTTGTGTGATATACAGCCTTTAAATAGAAAACCAAGGAAATACATCTACATGATTAAAAAGCATTTATTTTAATCCAAACTGTAGCTTTACCCCCTTTACATGTTTCAGTGCTTTCTGACCATCCGTACGCCTTGTTAAACACCGTGCATGTCGTTCTCGTGGCAGTGGAAGCAGATGGGATCCATGTTATCAGACTCTTTCGCTGTACTATTGGCAGACATTAAATCACTATTAAAGGGGAACAGCTCCAGTGGCGCGTGATTGGCCGAAGCTTTAAACACATACTAATCAGTCTGACAGTGGCATATTAACTTTAATGTGTTTGTTTTACCAAGGCTAATGCTTTGTGCTTTTAAAGGCGCTGTACTAGATTTTTACAGAATTAGTTCATTTTAAACAGTTTGCAGTGGTCCAAAGTTTTTTCCTCACTTACCTTATGCATTCTGAGCACTACTACTACTACTACTACTACTACTACTAATACTACTACTAATAATAATGATGCTTAGTCTTATGCAGTGCTTTTCCAGATGCACTAAGTTGTTTCACAATTTGGTGCTGATGATGGCTGTCAATATGCGTCATTGCCCCCTCCGTCCACCACCAACACTCACACACACGGCAATAGATGCATCAAGAATTTCGGAATTCCCGTCATTGCGCAATTCATACTGGGAAGGATTTTCCGAAAGAGTGAGCATCAAACCTCCATGTTTGTTTTCCCAGTGGGATGAGTCTATTGACAAAGCCGATCTTTTCAAGTCTTTTGAACCATATCACTTTTGTTTGTGGTTCTGATATCGTCATGTTTTAATTTTGGGATTGGGGCGTCGTAATTGTGTGGTTGTTGGATCCTAACAGCGGAAAACGGCTCGAGAAATTTGTTTGCGAACTTCATAAATGCAAAAGGGAATCAGATGTGTGTGACTGCAAACCTCTGTTCAAACTGTTTCTCTTCCCAACGGAATTGAAAAATAGTGAAAGGTGAAGGTGATGGGCAGGATTGATCCACAGGAAGAACCAAAAATGAAACCTTTGACTGTCTAAATCACGGGTGACAAACATATGGCCCGGGGCCTGGATCCGGCCCTCCAAGACCTTTAATGTGGCCCTCGGCTGATTTTCTACTAAAATATTTGAATTATATTTTCTATTAAAATATTGGTAATTTTCTGCGGTGCTGAGCATAGCAGCGTCTCCAGCTTCTCTGTACGTGGCCCCTCCCCCCAGAGCAGCACAAATGAAGACTTGTCTCTTTCCAAACGCTCTTAAAGGACGATCGTTTTGACTGTTGACCGTGACACCCTCATCAGAAAAATGTTAAAAATGAGAAAAGTGGACGCAGAGTGCAGAATTTTCCGGGAAAAAATTCACTTATTTCTATTTGCATACAAGTTCATGTTAAAACATTGTGTTGAAATTGCAGTTTTCTTAAAGTTTCAGGTTGTTCATAACATTATAATTTGTAAAAGAAAGAGTTCATCAATTAAAAAAGATTTCTGTAATAGATTTGTGTTTCTCTGCACAAATATTTGAACTTATTGTTATTTTTGGGGTTTATATGACATGAGTTTTCTGATCCGGCCCCTTTGGGATCAAAGTAGGTTGGATACGGCCCCCGGACCAAAATGAGTTTGACACCCCTGGTCTAAATCATTCCGAGTTTGTTGTCGTCTTTAATTTGAAAACACTTTTGGACACTTAGCTTTAACATTTCCCAGTTGATAATGTGTTGTGGAATGTCGTGCAGGGACAAACTGAAGTAGAAAAATAAACTTGTCTGATCTGACCTGAAAACTCCCTGATTTAAGTACATCAAGAAAATGCTCGCACAGGTCTCACTACATCAGCAAATACCAGCGTGCAATGGGAAACATTAGAGTTAATTCCTCAAAGAAGTTGATAGTAGCGTATTTTATTTCTTGTCTGACCAGCCAGTCTGGAGTCTGGAGTCTTTAGAGTCAAATTCTCTGCCCTTAACTTGGAAGCGCCAACTGCATCACATGTCTCTCACATCTCTCCTGCAAAATTATTGTAACAGTCAGAAGAAGATATCCAAATTATTTTACCTGTGGTCGCTGTGAAGGCTGCACAGAGACCACGTGTTTGCACAGTAACTAATCATTTATTAAGGGAAAAGGCTGTTCTGGCTCCACGTCCAGCAAAAAAGCAATCCAACTGAACTGATCCGGAGCTCCACAGCTTCTCCACCGGCTCCACCAGACTGCACGACCCGCACTCCGAGCTCCTCTTACAACTTGTAATTGTTTGGAATACTTGCGGCCACCGTACCAGAGCTGCACCGTGCACCGTCTGAGCCCGAGCTAAAGTTTATCAAAGAATGTGATTTTGGCTATTTTGGAAACTATATTTTCCCTTTGGTTAGACAAGCTTAAGCAGAAGGTGGACTTACAGAAGGAGCTGCTTTCGTCCTTTGTGCCTTCCATGGTGCCATCCGGAAGCATCTGGAGGTAGAAGCCGTGTCTGCAGTAGAGCCGTGTGACGATGCCCTTCAGCTGGGGCTCTGCAAGAAAACACAAGAAAACTACGGTAAGCACACAGGGACAAACCAGGAAGTGTCGGCAAATCAACGTAAACAACAAAACACTGTAGACGGATTCTGAGTGCAGAACAAACCACAGTCTGTGCGGTTAACATGAAGCTGTTGTTAGCGCTAAAACAGTTTATCTCCCTGTGATAAAATAAGTTCTGATGCTAAATGAACATTAGTGAGTGGGAAACGTCTTAATGACCTGTATGTGTTAAATGCAGGTGAGTGAGTAAATGATTAGAAGAAACGACTCAAACGTCAGTAGCTGAACACCCACTCATAGCTCTTTTTGCAAGAGACATGCACAGTAGAGCAAGTGACATAGGCTATTTTCAGACTGCAGGGCTTAACGCTCAATTCTGATTTTTTTGTGAAACATTTCCAATTAAATGTGACTTGTATGAAATCCCCTGTGTGAACATTAAACAGCCCGAAAGTGTCCCGCATGTGCACTGGAGACACGACGACGTCAACCGCAGCGAGCGTGTTCTGTGTTTACGGAAGTTGTCCAAACATGGACGCAGCATTGAGCACCTGGAGATTTTAAAGTTTCTCTCGTACCAGAGCCAGAACATGAACAACTTACTTGTTTTAAGGAGGAGATTGAGAAGGACGAGGTTTTTGGCCGTGGTGTTTTGTGGGACAGCGGCAGCGACGTCCATTGAAAGGAACGTGTGGATGTGGAGACGGAGCCAAGAGTGGTGAGTGGTGATGTGCTTCGCTTCAGTGACACAGAGTTCATTAACAATTTTCACCTACTTCAGCGCAGAATAGTGACGTTTGTGGCTTGTTGATAACGTGTAGGTGGATGAATGCACTTTGGCCGTTCAGACTGAAGTCGAATGTCAAAAGATCAGATATGTATCAGTTTCAGGACCACATATCCAAGCGGCTTGGGTCGCATTTGAAAAAATCTGATCTGTGTCCGTTCAGACTGTCATTAAAAGATCAGATACAGGTAACATAGAAGCCAAAAAATCAGATTTGGGTCACTTCAGGCTGCAGTCTGAACGCAGCCATAGTCTGATAATCCCTCTAGACCAGTGTTTCCCAAAGACTGGGGCACGATCCTCAGGTGGGATGTAAGAGATTTAAAAAAAAAAAAAAAAAAAAAAAAAAAAAACATTAATTAATCATTGCATTTATATAGTGTATTTCAAGATTTCCCCAAAGTGCTTTACAGAACATTGTTCATTCACTCAACACTCAGTGGAGGTAAGATACTACTGTAGCCACACTGACGGAATCGAGGCTGCCAATCTGCACCATCGGCCCCTCTGACCACCACCATCACACAGAACATTTTCATAATAAGCAATGTGGTGTAGAAGTGTCTTGCCTAAGGACACAATAACAGTTTTTGCCACCAGTGCCCCCTGTTTTTGTGTCGCCGCATCATGATCTGCATGTTGGTCTGTGATATACATTTCTGACACATGGAAGAAGGAGAGAGTCAGAGAATATAGTATTGTCATTCTGGATAAGCATTTGATCAGAATCTCCTGTCTTCAGTATTGGACCGGGAGCCAGGTCCACCCCTCAGGATGTTTTTTGCTACCTTTTTTTCACTATTATTTCCTGTTATATTATATCTTGGGACCAACCCCAACTCGGCCCCGTTTGGGCTCAGGGCCCAAAAAACACACTTTTTAAGAAAAGCAATTTGCAAAATTATGTAACTGTAAATATTAAGGTACTGAAACTGCATAAATGGTCAAATAACCCTAAAATCTGGCATGGTGTATCCTGACACATGGGGGAAACTAGCAGAAAAAATATTTTGGGGTTTGCTGCCTTTCTATTGTCAAATATCACCCTCAACATATCACTTTTAATGTAATTCACTTCATATAGTACAGCAGTACATAAGTCAACTCTTTTCAAATATTGTTTCCGTGAAAAAAAAATCCTGCTTGATCCCATAAGTAATGGTGAAGCCTGAAAGTTCTGCCTCCTGCCGATTTGAGGTACAGTGAAGAACTTTGTTCATAGCAGCTGTTTCCCTCTAGATACAAAGGTCATCTTGGGCTTAAATTGAAGCTTATGAACATGGGAAGTTTTTCATGTACATTTGAGGCAGTGATATATGCAATAAAATGCTTGAAAATGATCACTTTTGATGACAATTTGTCAGACGGACAGACATTTTTTGGTCTTTTAGAATACATTGAGGGTGATATTTGACAGTAGAAAGGCAGCAAGCCCCAAAATATTTTTTCTGCTAGTTTCCCCCATGTGTCAGGATACACCATGCCAAATTTTAGGGTTATTTGACCATGTATGCAGTTTCAGTACCTTAATATTTACAGTTACATAATTTTGCAAATAGCTTTTCTTAAAAAGTGTGTTTTTTGGGCCCTGAGCCCAAACGGGGCCGAGTTGGGGTTGGTCCCTATCAATTTATGGCCCAAGATATAAGATAACAGGAAATAATAGTGAAAAAAAGGTAGCAAAAAACATCCTGAGGGGTGGACCTGACTCCCGGTCTATATGGTCAGTGTTTCTATGTTTATTTCTTTCACTACTACATATTTGTGTGAACTGGGATTTTCTGTGCTCACAAAAATGAAGACAAAGCACAGAAACAGACCGAGGCTGCATCTGATTTGCCCATCTCTCATTAGAAATCTTGAAATGTTAAGACATGTTTTGTATCATTTCTAACATTTTTGTAATTATTTTATTGACTATTTTGTTCCAATGTTGCTGGTTCAATTGAATATTGAAAAGAAAAATAAATGTTCTACATTTAATGTCCAAATAGGCGACTTATGGATCCTTTTATTGCTGCTTCAATTACTGTTTTTGTTGTTTAAAACTTGAGTAATACTAATTGTTCAGAGACACGATCACTCAGTCAACAATAAAATATCTTCATGAATGTTCAATAATGCTCAAATCCATCTTTATTTTGTGATTTATGAATAATGTCTATTGACTTGGGTCACAAAGCTTTGTGACTTTTAAAATATGGCTCCCCAGAAATAAAATAAAAGGCAAACACTGCTCTAGACAGTGAGCACAGAGGGACAAGCAGTCAATGCATGTGTGGAATAACCATAAAACACAAAATGGTAATCACAGAAGGACAAATCCAGAAGTGCCTAGAAATGTAAAGTACCAAAAAAAACAACAACACACACACACACACTATAGTAAGCACATAGGGACAACCCTGTCAGTTTCTAAAGGTGTAAAATATTCGCTCTCTTGTGTTCGTTTCATGTTTACTGCTTTTGTGTAAGTGCAGTCTTTTAAATACCTTGACAGTGAAATAAAGTGAACACTGCTCTGTCCTTTAAACAGAATGCTGACTCAGTGTACAAAAAAAGCACAGCAGCGCCTCCACCTCTTGAGGAAACTTTAGTGTACAGAAGGACATTTTGACAATAGTTGACAAATCAGTCACAGAGTCCATCATCAGCTTCAGCCTCACATCCTGGTTCCAGCTCTTGACAGGGAAACAAATCAAAACTTCCCTGTGCCATAAATCAGACAGAATCACTGGTCCAGTCCAAACCGCTCCGTCTGAACTCTGCAGTGGCTCAGTGCTGGGAAAGACCACACACGTCACCCGCTCCATAAGTCCAGGTTCTACTCCAGAAAGGTTCATACACACATGTTTCTGAACTACTAAAATCCAAAATGATGTTAGTGATTTAGTCCTGGTTCAGTTCTGTTTCAGACTCCAGGATGTTCCACAAAAGTAGCTCATTCCTACAGTCAGGCCTGTGTGGATACATTTGCTTCTGCTGTTGTATTTTCAGTCTCTCCTTGCATCAGTCTTTCCTCAGAGAATGAGTCACTCTTGGCACCATTAGATTATAAAGCTAAATGATAATAAATAAGATAAGACAAGTGCATTCACTTCAACCTGGCTGAGCTCAAAGACGTTTTGGCACAATCTGTTTTACTCTTTAGTGTATAGAGTAATATAAACTCAACCAGTTTAAGTTATGTTTTAGACCTGGTTTAGTTCTGGTTTAGTCCTAGGTCCCCAACATTAGGGGTTTTGTAGGATTTTTCCTTTCAGAAGAACATTTTCAGTTAAGAAATGCCAAAAATGTTTGTGAGAACATTAAGTATAAATTTGTTCATAAGAACATTTCATGAATGAGACCCATTCTTTCTATTGCTTATTCTATTGTCTACTGTTTCCACTGTACTAATTTATTTATTTAGAAATAAAACTCAATTTCAATACTAAGGACTCGATACTCAATACTGATTCCAATACCAATAGCACTATAGTAATTCAAGACACTATTTCTTTAGACCAGCAGTTTTCAATAGGTGAGGCCCGCCTCCCCTAGGGGGCACCAAAGAGTCACTGAGGAGGCACAACACACACGTGAAAAAAAAACAAAAAAACTAATGCTCCACATGTGTACACATGTGCAGCAGGATTGATATGGGTAATTGTGCATGCCTGTGTTAGCTGTAAAATGCATCATTTTCTGATTCCATCTCAAAAGAAATCAGCAGCAAGAGAGGAGAGAAGACCCAGCAAAACACGTAGGAAATATGATCCTGATCTATATTTAAAGTTTGGTTTCACCTGGTTGGGTTCAGTGTGCACCTATGCCAGTGTATGGTCAGCAAAGAGGAGCTTGTGAATGAACATGAGACCTGCAAACTTCTGCATCACATTGAGACAAAGCTCACAAATTTAGTGAACAAGCCAGTTGGGTTTTTTGAAAGAAGCTTGATGATTTGCAGTCACAGAAAAACATTATGCAGTTGTTTGGCACTAGTAACATCAAGACAACTGAAGCATCTTATTGTGTAGCTCTATGTATAGCGAAGGCAGACAAGCCCCATAACACTAGAGGAACACTGCTGCTCCCTGCAGCTACACAGACATGACTGTTGACTGTCTAATGTTCTGAGTTCCTTGAACAGTGTTGTCGATTAAGCCAAAGATGTTCATTTTGTCGTCTTATATACTTTAACTTCTTGGGTTCTTTTTAAAG